CCGGTGCTTGTGTCCCGCATCTTTATACCGGTGCAATGTGCATTGCATGCCCCAGGGTTGGGGTTTGTTTCACCCGGCACAGCCTTCAGACAGCCCATCACAACAATGAGGCTGCCTTGCTCTTCCTATCCCACTCGCTGTCTTTTTGCAGAAATGTCTCTATCTGGGGGGGGAAGGGGAAAACCGGAATAAAACAACCTCTGCTGGTGTCTTCCATCTCTAGCTCCTGTGATTCTTTTTGGGGGGGAATCTGCTTTACAGTGTATTCTGCCTAGAAGGATATTTGTAATGGATCTATAGAGCAGCCAGATGATATTCCTGTTGTATAAGCATATTTATTTTTAAAAAATCTGCATGGTATGTATTCAGGGTTGTGTGTATCTCCATTTTTATGCTGCAAACATTGGCTGGTGGTTGGATTTTTTTTATTATTTTAAAGTTGAGACTAATTACCATGCACTGATTATAACATGGCTTTGTATGATTAATTCAGAGCCAATGGGGTTTTAAAATTAAATATTTGCTCTAAATGCCTCTCCTTAAAATTTGGAGGGCAGGGCACGTGAGCCAAATTCTGCTGTGTAACACCAATGTAGATCAAGAGCAATGCTATAGATTGGTGTAAATGGAACTTGGTCCTAGGTATTTACTGATGTGCTAAATTCTGCTGTGTATATATACGTGAAAATCTCCCCTACTTCCATTGACTTCAGTGAGGTTACTCCTGATTTGAACTAGTGTAACTTAGAGCAGAATTTGTCGCTGTGGGTATACATTTCCAGTGCCCTAGAAATGTTTTTGAAAGTCACTTTATAATAATAGTGCTGCAGTTTTTGTCTTCTGTGCATCTGAATTTGACTTCATAATGAAATAAAATTACCCTGCTAAACCTGAATTTTAAAAAAAGCCTGCTTGTTGGCTGTATAGCCGAAAAACTGGCTGTAGACTTGAAGAGCTTGTTTTTTGAGTTCTGCAGTGGGGGAAGCCAGTTACAGCAATCACGCTATCCATCAGCAGGTAGTTGCTGTAGTTCTGGAGAACTGGGTAAAAGGCAAGTCTAAGTACATCTATTAGTGGATATAGTGCAAGAGGTGTCAAGGTCAGATCCAGTAATTCATGGCTACGCTTGCTTATCGTTTTGAGTAAACCCTGGGTGTGGCTGTTGCAATGCTATGAATAGATAGGCTGTTGCAGAATTTCCTCTACTATACTGGCGGTTGAAATGTATAGAAGTCCTCAGTCTGGTTTGTTTTGCTTTTTCCTTTTTGGAAAAGTCAAATCGCACTCATCTTATTCACCTGAGTGGTCCTACTGACTTCAATAGAACTATTCTCACTCAAATAAAAACTGAATTCTTGTGATCAAGGTAAGCAGTGTTTGATCTGTTCTTTCAAAGTATTTTAATCCAGCTTTTTTAGTAGCAGAGAAGCAAAATAATTCGTAATAATATTTATTTATAAAGCATATACAAATCTGGAGTATTGAAGGTAGGGTTGTTTTTTTTAAATCTTCACCCCATTTTTCTTTTTTTAAATCTGAGATTAAACCATAAAAGGATTTTCAAAAGAGCTCAGCTTCTATTTAATTACCAGAATAAGTGTGCAGATTTTTATAGGCGCTCAACACAGTATGTAGGGTGCTGTGCAGTTTTGAAAATCTGGCTGTCCTATAGGTGTCTAAGTGGTTACTAAATTCCTCGGAAAATCTGGCCTGCTCAGCATTTGAAATTCTGGCTCTGAGCTCCTTTGAAAACGTTCCTTAGATCTTAGTAAAAGCAGAAGTTTCCTTTTGCATTTCAGTCTCTCAGGTATGTGAGTTTACTGTGTGTTGTAATAAGAAACACTAGTTGGTTTAAGATCTGCTAATGAGTCTAAAATGGAATTGCAACAAGAGAAAATCATGGAAAGATTATATGGGATTCCAGTGTCCATGTTCAGTGAGGTCTTTTTGACACTGATGTCTGCTGACCGTATGGAAATCAGGGTAATAATGCTATCTAAAATATTGGTAAATAATTAATATTAGAAATTAAAGGTCAATTGTTATTGATGCTATAGAAATCGTATGGAATCATAAGTTGTCCCAGTTAGGTTTTCCTCATTACATGAGGTGTGCTCAGTTACTATGGTGGAGAGAGCCATATAAATACCTGGCTGATAGTCTAATGCAGAGAATCCATGGTTGTTCAGAAAGTGAGATTTTTATAAAGGTGGTGGAACTGCTTCCACCTTCAACACACTGGTATCACAGCAATGGTTTAATCATGGAACTGGCAGGAACCTTGAGAGGTCATCAAGTCCAGTCTCCTGTACTCGTGGCAGGGCCATCTAGATCATCCCTGACAGGTGTTTGTCTATGCTGCTCATAAAAATCTCTAGTGATGGAGATTCCACAACCTCCCTAGTAAATTTATTCCACTGGTTAATCACCTTGACAAACCCCTAAGTTAGGAAGTTTTTCTAATATCTAACCTAAACCTCCCTTGCTGCAATATAAGCCCATTGCTTCTTGTCCTATCAGACGTTTAGAAGAATAATTTTTCTTCTTCCTCCTTGTAACAACCTTTTAGATAATTGAAAGTTATCACATCCCTTCTCAGTCTTCTCTTCCAGACTAAACAAACCCAATTCTTTCAACCTTTTCTCTTCTCATGTCTTCTAGACCTTTACTCATTTTGTGTTGCTTTTCTCTGGACTTATTCCAGTTTGTCTACATCTTTCCAGAAATGTGGCACCCAGAACTGGACACAGCACTCCAGCTGAAGCCTAATCAGCACAAGAGTAGAGTGGAAGAATTACTTCTAGTGTCTTGTTTACAACACTCCCGCTAATGCATCCCTGAATGATCTTTACTTTTTTTGTTTGTTTGTTTGTAACAGTGTCACACTGTTAACTCATCTTTAGCTTGTGATCTGCTATGATCCTTAGGTCCCTTTCAGCAGTACTCCTTCCTAGATAGTCGGTTCCCATTCTGTATGTGTTAAACAGATTGTTCCTTCCCTAACTGGAGCACTTTGCATTTATCCTTGTTGAAGTTCTGAGGGGGGGGGGAAAAAAGATGAACATTTCTCCAGTGACTAGATCAATTTTGAATTCTAATTCTATCTTCCAAAGCACTTGCAAGCCCTCCAGGCTTGGAATCATCTGCAAACTTAATAAGCATGCTCTTTATGCCATTATCTAAATCATTAATGAAGACATTGAACAGAACCAGTCCCAAAACTGATCCCTGAGGAACCCCACTTGTTATGCCCTTGCAGCATGACTATGAACCATTAATAACTACTCTCTGGGAACAGTTATCCAACCAGATATGCACCCACCTTATAGTAGCCCCGTCTAGGTTGTATTTCCCTAGTTTATTAATGAGGTCATGCAAGAAGACTATATAAAATGCTTTACTAAAGTCTAGATATACCACACTTTCCCCTTCCCCTTTACCCACAAGGATTGTTATCCTATCAGGTTGTTTGACATGATTTGTTCTTGACAAATCCATGTTGACTGTTACTTGCCACTTTGTCTTCTAGATATTTGCAAATGGATCCCTTAATTGCACCATTATCTTTCCTTGGTCTGTAATTCCTTGGATTGTCCTTATTTCCCTTTTTATAGATTTGGCGCTATATTTGCCCTTTTCCAGTCTTCTGGAATTTCTCCTGTCTTTCATGATTTTTTTAATGATAATAGCTAATGGCTCATAGCTCATAGATCTCTTCAGTCAGCTTCAGTATTTCTAGGATGCATTTCATCAGGTCATGATGACTTGAAGACCTCTCCATTCTCTCAGTAATTTTGAACTTGTTTTTTTCCCAATATTACCCACTGAAACTATTTCATTTTCACTTACATTTTCTGTGTTAGGTATCCAATTGTTGCCAGCCTTCTTGGTGAAAACCAAGACAATGAAGTAATTAAGTATCTCTGCCATTCTACATTTTCTGTGTGGTTTTCCCCCTCTTCATTGAGCAATGGGCCTACCCTGTCTTCCTTCTAATATATTTGTAGAATGTTTTCTTGTCTGTCTCTAGCTACTATGAGCTCATTTTGTGCCTTTCTAACTTTGCCCCTTCATACTAGGGCTATTTGTTTGTGTTCATCCTTTGTAATTTTACCTAATTTCCACTTTGTGTTGGTCTCCTTTTTAAATTAATGGAGATTGTGTATCTCCTATAACTGGAAGGGACCTTGAGGTCATTGAGTCCAGTCCCCTGCCTTCACAGCAGGACCAAGTACCATCCCTGACACATTTTTGCCCCAAATGGCCTCCGCAAGGATTGAACTCTCAACTCTGGGTTTAGCAGGCCAATGCTTAAACCACTGAGCTAGCCCTCCCCCTAACTTTTAGATCATTCAAGGTTTCCTGGTGAAGCCAGGATGGTCTTTTGCCAGACTTCTTATCTTTCTTCTGCAGTGGAATAGTTTGCTATTGTGC